GTGGTAGAGCGCTAGCCTTGAGCTGAAGAGCTGAGGGACAGCGCCCAGGCCCAGAGTTCAGGCCCCATGACCGGACCCAAAAAAAAAAAGTCTTACAGACTTTCCTAGCCAGCTTCAAACCATAATCCTCAGATCTCAGCCTCCTGAGTAGGTAGGACGACAGGCGTGAGCCACTAATGCCCGGCTGCTGACAACCTCTCCATTTTTGTCCATGAAGGAACAGAGACAAACACACCCACAGAGACAGCAAATGAGCGTTGCAGGTCACTCTGACTCTAGATCCTGGAGCCCCTTCATCATTTTCCCTCTACTTCACTCTGGAAACTTAGAATGGGGGGGGCACAGGCTCCCTGAGGGGGGATTTTCTAGGCTCTGTATCCAGAAGGTGACCACAGGTAATGAACTGACCAGTGGAAAGAGAGTTTTGTCCAGGCCAATCTGGTGGTCACCCCACCCAACCCCACACACCTGAGCCTGGTCCGGCATTTTCTGTGAGTGTAAATATAGACTTCGAATTTGCCTAACTTACGGAATCCTCAGCCCTGATCCGTGGCTATCCTGGGTTCTGGCCTCTTTTTCTACACACAGCCTTTGTCTTCTTATGCAAATAACCCAGGTTCTGCCCATAGAAGTTTCTAGGGCAAAAGGGAGGAGGAGAAAGGAAAAAAAAAAAAAGCCTTATGGAAACTCTTGCAATGCATTTCTTTGTATTTGCATATTTCCAGGACCACACTTTGGCAGTGAACTGACTCTGGGCTGCACCCCAGTAACCTCAGCCTCTTTTGAAATCTATGAACTTTTGGTCAGGAAAAAATACATATTAATCTCTCTCTCTCTCTCCCTCTCTTTCTCTCTCTCTCTCTCTCTGTCTCTCTCTCAGTCTTGGGGCTTGAATTAAGGGCCTGTGGTGCTGTCCCTTAGTTTTTTTTGCTCAAGGCTGCAGTTCTACCACCTTGAGCCACAACTCCAAACTTCCAATTTTCTGGGTGGTTCTTTGAAGATAAGAGTCTCACCTCTTTCCTGCCCAGGCTGGCTTTGAACTGTGATCCTCAGATCTCAGCCTCCTTAGTAGCTAGGATTACAGATGTGAGCTACTAGCACCTGGCTATATTTATTCTTCTTTTTTATTTTATTTTTTTAAGTATTGGGGATTTAACTTGGGGCCCCAACCTTTCAAGAAAGGTGCTCCACCACTTCATCCACACCTCTAGCCCCCCTTTTTTGTCGATTGTAGGGCTTGAACTCTGGGCCTGGGTGCTGTCTCAGCTCTTCAGCTCAAGTCTAGTGCTCTACCACTTGAGCCACAGCACCACTTCTGGTTTTCTGGTGGTTTATTGGAGATAAGAGTCTCACAGACCTTCCTGCTGGGGCTGGCTTTGAACCAAGATCCTTAGATCTCAGCCTCCTGAGTAGCTAGGATTACAGGCATGAGCCATTGGCGCCCAGCTTAGCACCTTTTTTATACTGATTATTTTCAAGGAAGGTTCTTACTTTTTGACTCAAGTCAGCCTGGAATGCAATCTGCCTATTTGTGCTTCTCTGATTCACTGCGATGATAGGCATACATAATCACATCCAGTCCCTGGTTGAGATGGAGTCATACACACTTACTTTTGCTCTGGCTGACTTTGAACCATGATTTCTTGATCTCTGCCTTTTAAGTAGTAAAGGTTACAGGCTTTGTCCACCTTACCCAGCTCTCAGAAGAGAATTTTCAATGCACAAAAGTAAAATCCACAGATGGACAATGGTACTCTGTTACAGGAAAGTAGCATTTATCAAAGTATTTGGGATAGAAAATAAGATGTGTTTCTGTGGTAATCTCAGATGATGTCAAATTATTATAATTGTGAGGTAATGATGAGCAAAAATATCTCAAGATATCTGCCATAGCTATAGTGCAATAAGAAAATATCTGTGTGTGTGTGTGTGTATACTGGGGCTTGAACTCAGGGACTAAGTGCTGTCCCTTAGCTATCTTGCTCAAGGTGATGTTCTGCCACTTAAGCCACAGCTCCACTTCCAGCTTTTTTTTTTTTTTACAGACTTTCCAGCTGGGGCTGCCTTTGAACCTTGATCCTCAGATCTCAGCCTCCTGAATAGCTGGGATTTAACAAGCTTGAGTCACCAGCACGAAGCTTCTCTGTGGTTTCTATTGGTGACCCAGTAACCAGAGCAGAAACATCAAGTGGGGCTTATTCATCGTGTTCAAGGAAGGAAATGCAGAGCACCAATGTGTAACTAGAGAACACATGCCAAGCAACCTCACAGCTGTTTTACTCTTCCTCTCCATCCCCCACATCTACAGAGTTCTAGAAACCCCCATCCTTGCCAGTTCCAGCAGGCCTGATTTCCCTGATTGTGGCAGCAAATACAGAAAAGTCTCCTGGTTGTCAGCCTGGGTTGGCTTCCAACCATGATCCTCAGCTCTCAGCCTGCAGAGTAGCCCAGATTACAGGTGTGAGCTGCCATGCCCAGCTCATGTACTTGCCCTTATTCTGATATTATCTGCAGCATGTCCCTCATGCTCCCGCAAAGCAAATATGGTTAGCCCTTGTGTAGATGTAGAAGACATGGCTCCGAGAGGAGGTGGAGCCGAGGGGTGGGGGTGGGGTGCAGGTTTGCTCCATGCTTTTGCCTTTCCTCAAAACCACATGCATTGCACACACCCCCAAACACATCCCTATCGTGATTGGAGATGACTCATGATGAAGTTGTAATAACAGTAATGATGATGATGATGATGATAATTACCAACACTCTGTGTTTTAAAGACTTGCTAGCTAGCATGGTTCCGGTCATCTTCACCATCAGCATTAAGGCAATCGCTTTGCTTATGTTGTTCAAAACCCTTGTTCAAAGGAATTAACTCATTGACCCTTCCTAACAGCAAACAGGTGGCCATGGCGGCGCCGATGTGGTTGGTCCCGCACAAACCAAGCTGTGTTGGAAGCTGGGTCCTCAGGGTAGCAGTGCTGGGAGGTGGGGGAGACCTGTAATGGGTGGGGCCTCCCAGGAGGCGGGTCATTGAGAAAGCAATTAACATAGCTCAGCCTGGCACCAGTCATCCTAACTACTCAGGAGGCTGAGATCTGAGGATCATGGATGGGGGTTCAAACCCAGCCCCAGCAGGAATGTCTGTGAGACTTCTCTCCAAGTAACCACTAAAAAAGCCAGAAGCTAGAGGTATGGCTCAAGTGTTAGAGCGCCAGCCTTGAGAGAAAAAGCTAAGGGGCCACACTTAGGTCCTGAGTTCAAGTTCTAGCACTGGCACACACACACACACACACACACACACACACACACACATAGAAGACACACAGCAGTTTGTGTGTCTTGATGGCCTCCCCTCCCCCCCTGCTGCTTCTGCCCCTCCATTCATGTTTTCTTTTTTTTTGGGGGGGGTGTCAGTTGTGGGACTTGAACTCAGGGCATGGGCACTGTCCCTGAGCTTTTCTTACTCCAGGTGAGCGCTCTGCCACTTTGACCCACAGCACCACTTCTGGTTTTCTGGTGGTTCATTAGCTATAAGAGTCTCATGGACTTCCCTGCCCGGGCTGGCTTCGAACTGCGATCCTCAGATCTCAGCCTCCTGAGTAGCTAGGATGACTGGCATGAGCCACCAGCACCTTGGCCATCCAGATGTTCTGTCCCCAAGGTATTATAGGAGAAGCAGGTGCCAGCACAGGGGTGACAATGGGGCTCCTGTGTGCTGTGGGAAGGTGTGGTCCCAGGCAAATGAGCTGGAGCACCCACAGATATAAAGGATCCTTGTAGGTTCTACCTCCACCCCCAGGACTGGCCAGCATGGAGGGCAGCCTGGAGCAGCTCAGTCTGGGGAGTCGGTCTGAAGGATGGGGAGATAAGGAGTCTGTGGCCGAGCTCCGGGAGCTGGCGGTGAAATGGTTCATGGAGACGCAGGCTCCGGTCATCCTGCAGAACGGGGTGCTGCCCCCCTGGTTCCACGGCTTCATCACCCGCAAGTAAGGTTTCATCTCCCTGGAGCTGCTGTGTCTGCTTGGGTAGAAGAGATGTCCTTGGCAGGCCCTGTAGACTGGACAGTGTCTGGGGGCGTGAATTCAAGTCCTGCGGCACAACCCAGGTCCAGACCCAGATAGACCGACACCTCAGAGCTGCCTCGCTCACACCGATTTTGTGTGAGTTTTTTGTCTTTTTTATTCTTGTTGTTTTTGTTTTTGGTGCTAGTGCTAGAGTCTGCACTCAGGGCCTTGTACTCTTGCTTCGATCCTTCATTCAAGGCTGGCACTTGACCACTTGAGCCACACCTCTACTTCTGGCTTTTTGCTGGTTCATTAGAGATGAGAGTCATACATATATATATATATATTTTTTTTCTACCAGGGCTGGATTGGCTTTTAACCAGCATCCTTACATCTCAGCTTCCTGAGTAGCTGAGATTACAGGTGTGAGCAACTGGCACTCAGAATTTTTTTTTGTTCTCTTCTTCAGTGCTGGTCATAGAGCTTGAACTCAGCCTGGGTGCTGTGGCTGAGCTCTTTTTGCTCAGGGCTAGCACTCTACCACTAGAGCCACAGCACCACTTCTGGCTTTTTGTAGTTAAGATAAGAATCTCAAGGCCTTTTCTGCCCTGGCTGGCTTGGAACTGCCATCCTCAGATCTCAGCCTCCTGGGTTACTAGGATGACAGGCGTAAACCACTGGTGCCTGGGTCACTCAGTACTTTTAATACTCTATCTGTGGTCTTTTTTTTAAGGCTGCCCCTTTTCTGGTCAGCAGGGCCCAAGAGTCTTAGGTTCAAGAATGGCTATCTCTTCCTCTTGCCCTGTGCTGAGTGGAGACCTTGGAGAAGGAATGAGGGGCCAGGCCAAGGAGGGCTTGTCTCTTGGCTGGCTGCTGTTGGGGGGGTGGGTGTGTGGAGAGGAGGGTGGAGCCGCTAAGCTATGGGACAGACAGAAAGAGGCCCAGTTGAGCACACTTAGACCAGCTGGATGCCAGTGGCTCATGCCTGTTATCCCAGCTACTCATGAGGCTGAGATCTGAATATCATGGTTCGAAGCCAGTCCAGGCAGGAAAGTCCCTGAGACTCTCATCTCCGATGAATCACCAGAAAACCAGAAGTGGCGCTATGGCTCAAAGTAGTAGAGCGCTAGTCTTGAGCACAGCAAGCAACTCTTTCTTTGCAGGAACCTTGTGCAGTATGCATGGCACACAGGTGTAGGTAGCAATCCCAAGGGGGCGTTCCCTCATCCTCCTTTTCTTTTTTTGCTGATCCTGGGGCTTGAATTCAAGGTCTTGCCATCATGCCTGGTTTTTGTTGGTGTTCAAGGTTGGTGCTTTACCTCTTGAGCCACACTTCCAGCTTTTTTTTCTTTTTGCTTATGTGGTGCTGAGGAATCGAACCCAGGGCCTCATGCATGCAAGGCAAGTGCTCTACCACTGAGCCACCTTCCCAGCCCACACTTCCAGCTTTTTGCTGGTTCATTGGAGATAAGAGTCTCCCAGACTTTCCAGCCTGAGCTGGCTTTGAACTGTGATCCTCCTATCTCAGCCTCCTGAGTAGCTGGGATGACAGATGTGAGCCACCAGCACCCAGCTTCCCTTCCCGCCCCTTGTCTTAGAAGTCTCCAGTTGTAGCTCAGTGCCGGTGGCTCAGAGGAGTCCAGGCCCTCAGTTAACGAGCCGTGCTCTGCCCAGACAGACGGAAGAGCTCCTCAGAGACAAAGCTGTGGGCTGCTTCCTCATCCGCCTCAGTGACCAGGCCACGGGCTACATCCTGTCCTACAGGTAACTGGGGAAACAATTGGGAGGGGGCAGATTGCCTCAGGCACCTGGCATGGAGCCTTCTCCATGAGCCCAGAGGTCCAGCAAGCCCGCACAGCTCTGCTTGTATTGGTGGGCCCTAAGAAATCCCTTCAGAAAAGCACTGACTAGCAGGGCGCCAGTGGCTCACGCCTGTAATCCTAGCTTCTCAGGAGGCTGAGATCTGAGGATTGTGGTTCAAAGCCAGCCCGGGCAGGAAAGTCTGTGAGACTCTTATCTCCAATTAACCACTAGGAAACTGGAAGTGGCACTGTGGCTCAAGGGGTAGAGCGCTCACCTTGAGCTGAAGAGCTGAGGGACAGCGCCCAAGCCCAGAGTTCAAGCCCCACGACCGACCAAAAGAAAAATAAAATAAGAAAAGCACTAACCTATGCCAGGAATCATCCAGAAAGGTTATTCCTGGAGGTCAACTGGGACCCAGGGGACAATGCCCTTCTCAGGGGCAATTGACAGCTGGGGCAGGCTCCCCACAGAGGAACTTTGACCTCAGGAGAAAAGGAAAAAGCAGCATGTAAAAAAGGAAAAAGTAGCCGGGCATCCGTGGCTCACGCCTGTCATTCTAGCTACTCAGGAGGCTGAGATCTGAAGATTGCGGTTCAAAGCCAGCCTGGGCAGGAAAGTCCGTGAGACTCTTATCTCCAATAAAACCTACCAGAAAGAGCTGGGAAGGTGGCTCAGTGGTAGAGCGCTTGCCTTGCATGCCTGAGGCCCTGGGTTCGATTCCTCAGCACCACATAAGCAAAAAGAAAAAAGCCGGGGGGCTGGGAAGGTGGCTCAGTGGTGGAGCGCTTGCCTTGCAAGCTTGAGGCCCTGGGTTCGATTCCTCAGCACCGTATAAGCAAAAAGAAAAAAGCCAGAAGTGGTGCTGTGGCTCAAGTGGTAGAGCGCTAGCCTTGAGCTGAAGAGCTCAGGGACAGCGCCCAGGCCCAGAGTTCAGGCCCCACGACCGGACCCAAAAAAACAAACAAACAAAAAAACCAGAAAACCAGAAGTGGCACTGTGGCTCAAGTGGTAGAGTGCTAGCTCTTGAGCAAAAGAGCTCAGGGACAGTGCCCAGGCCCTGAGTTCAAGTCTCACAACTGACAAAAAAAAAGAAAAAGGAAAGAAAAGAAAAGGTGTGATTGTGGTGGGGAAGATAGAGGTAAGATGTTGGGTCCTAAAGCCAGGCACTGGTGGCTCACATCTGACATCCTAGCTACTCTGGAAGCTAAGATCTGAGGATTGTTGTTCAAAGCCAGCCCAAGCAGACAAATCCCAGAGACTCTGTTCCCCAATTAACCAGCAAAAAAATACAATAAAATAAAGCCGGAAGTGAAGATGGGTTTCTCTTGCTAGAGACCAGCTATGAGCACAAAAGCGGAGACAGTGAGACTCTGAGTCCAAGTGCTCATAGTGGCACACACACACACACACATACTACACACTTCAGGCTCCTGGGAGAGAAAGAATAGCAGCTGGGAACAGCCTCAGGGCTCAGACTGCAGGCATCTGCTCGGATTCCTGTTTTGCTGGAGCCAAGTGCCTAGAGAGGGGGCTGGAAATCAGCCCAGAGGTATGGGGTGAGGAGGCCCTGCCATTGGCTGGATGTGGGGGAGGGCGGGGCCTGAGGTCTGAGCTAGGCTGGAGCATTGGGAATTAGGGTCTTGTGTTTTTGCCTGGACTGGTCTCTGACTTTGATCCACCTACATCTGCTTCCCAAGTAGCTGGGATTGTAGGGGTGAGCCCTTGGACCCCATGGTAATCACGTTAAACATAGTTCTTTTTGTTCCATGAAATGCTGAGGTAGGCATTTGTAAACAAATAACATTTTTTGGTGTGTGTGTGGGGGCAAATCTGACATTTGGTGCCTTTTCTTCCCATTTGTTTGCTCAAGGCTGGCACTCTACCACTTGAACCAGGTCTCTAGCCCCACCTTTTGCTAGTTGGTTGGCAATGGAGTCTTGTGAACTTTCCTGCCTGGGCTGGCCTTGATCCTCGATCCTCAGATTTTAGCCTCCTGAGTGGCTAGGATTACAGGTGTGCGCGCCACCCATGCCTAGTTTAAAATGAGCATTTTTCAAAAATCTTTTCTGCCTTAGGCTTGGCTTTGCTTTTTTCTTTTTTTTTTTTTGTCAGGGGGCTTGAGCTCATGGCCTGGGCTCTGTCCCTGAGCTCTTTTACTCAAGGCTAGCACTCTACTACTTTGAGCCACAGAGCCACTTCTGGTTTTTCTAGTGGTTCAATGGAGATAAGAGTCTCACAGATTTCCTGCCGAGGCTGGCTTTGAACCTTGATCCTCAGATCTCAGGAGTGAGCTACCAGCGCCTAGCTCTTTGGGTTTGTTGTTGTTTTTCCTTCACCTAATGAGATCTTCGGTAGAGTGCCAACGTACAACAAAAGAAAAAGATATCCAAATGGGGCTGGCTCCAAGAAATACAAGCAGAGGAGGGGCACGGGGTTGGGGACAGCAGCCTGGGGTGGGGGACAGTGTCTGTGTCTCTCCACAGGGGCAGCGATCGCTGTCGCCATTTCATCATCAACCAGCTGTGGAACCGGCGCTACCTGGTCTCTGGGGACACCCTCAGCCACCGCACCCTGGACGAGCTGGTGCGCCATTACCAGGAGGTGCAGTTCGAGCCATTCGGGGAGACCCTGGCTGCTGCGTGCCCCCGGGTAGGCCCTCTCCTTTCCCTGGGGGTTCGGGTGGCAGGGAAAGGTGTCCAGACCTGGGTGGGCATCCTCCGAGGGCAGGCCTTTCCTGGTCCTATGTCCTGCTATTCAAGGAGGCTGACCGTGAAGTCACCATCCTGATGTTCAAAGTGGAGGCAGGTGCTGAGCACTGGTGGCTCACGCCTGTCATCTCAGCTACTCAGGAGGCTGAGATGTGAGGATCAGGGTTTGAAGCCATCCCAGGCAGAAAAGTCTGAGAAACTCCAATCTCCAATAAAATACTTAAAAAAGCCAGAAGTGGAGCTGTGGCTCAAGTGATAGAGTGCAGCCTTGAGCAAAAGACGCTCCCTGAGTTCAATCCCTAGGACCAGGAAGGAAGGAAGGAAATAGGAAGAAAGAAGAAAGAAAAGATGGATGGAAAGAAGGAAGGAAGGAAGAAGGAAGCCAGGTTCAGTGGCTCAGGCCTGTAATCTAGATACTCAGGATACTGAGATCTGAGGATCTTGGTTCAAGGCCAGCCTTAGCAGGAATATGAGACTCTTTTTTTTGGGGGGGGGTCCAGCCATGGGACCTGAACTCTGGGCCTGGGCGCTGTCCCTCAGCTCTTCAGCTTAAGGCTAGCGCTCTACCACTTGAGCTACAGTGCCACTTCCGGCTTTTTGCTTATGTGGTGCTAAGGAATCGAACCCAGGGCCTCATGCATGCAAGACAAGCACTCTACCACTGAGCCACCTTCCCAGCCCATGGAATGTGAGACTCTTATTTCGAATGAACCACCAGAAAACTGGAAGTGGTGCTGTGGCTCAAGTGGTAGAGCACTAGCCTTGAGCTGAAGAGCTGAGGGACAGCGCCCAGACCCAGAGTTCAAGCCCCACGACAAGAAAGAGAGAGAGAGAAAGAAAGAAGAAAGGAAGGAAGGAAGGGAAGAAGGGAGGGGGAAGGAAGGAAGGGAGGGAGGGAAAAAGAGAGAGAAAGAAGGAAAGAAGCCTGGGAAGGTGGCTTAGTGGTAGAGTGCTTGCCTAGCATGCATGAAGCCCTGAGTTTGATTCCTTAGTACCACATACACAGAAAAAGCTGGAAGTGGTGCTGTGGCTCAAGTAGTAGAGTGCTAGCTTTGAGCAAAAGAAGCTCAGGGACAGTGCCCAGGCCCTGAGTTCAAACCCCAGTAATGGTAAAAAGAAAGAGAGAAAGAACGAAAGAAAGAACGAAAGAAAGAGGAGAAAAGAGAAGGAAGGAGGGAGGAAGGGAGGGAGGGAAAGGGGGGGTGAGGGCACTGCTGGCCACAGGTGTCTGATGTGGCACTTTCTGCGTCCCCCCTGCCCCAGCTGGAGGACAAGGATGTCTATGATGCTGTCACCCTGGGCCTCCATCAGCCCAGCGTGGGCCCGGGCAGTCCCTCAGCTCTAGCGTCCCCTGTGGTGGCCCCCGACAAGCCGCCCAGCCCACGGCCCCCTGCCAAACCCCAAGTGTCCTTCCTACACTCCAAGAAGAGCGTGGAGGCCAGTCCTCAGGCGCTGGCCAAGGAGGAGAGCGTGGAGGTGAGGAGGATTCGTTGGGGGAGGTGGCATCACACCACAGGCAGGGCTGGAGAGGCCATGCTGAGGCCATGCTGGCCTGCTGGGTACCAGGGGCAGAGACATGTAGTCCTGGCTAGGAATCACTCACAAGGTTGCCCTTGGCATTGGTTGAGTTTGTTTCGAGCCCGGCTGGGCCACTTTCTTACTGTGTGACTTTGACCAAATGAGGTAACCTCTCTGAGCCTGTTTACCATGCCTGAGCTTCTTGCAAGAGAGAATGCTACTCTGGGTACCAGTGCTTTTGCCTGTAATCCCAGCTACTCGAGAGTTTGAGAGCTGAAGATTGAGGTTCAAAGCCAGCCCGGGCCAAAAAAAAAAAAAAAGTCTATGAGACTTTTATCTCCAGTAAATCAAAACAAACCAGAAGTGGAGCTGTGGCTCAAATGGTAGAGCACCAGTCTTGAGTAAAAAAGCTAAGGGATAGGGCTGCGAAGGTGGCTCAGTGGTAGAGCGCTTGCCTTGTATGCCTGAGGCCCTGGGTTCGATTCCTCAGCACCACATGAGCAAAAAGAAAAAAAAACCAGGAATGGCGCTGTGGCTCAAGTGGTAGAGCGCTCGCCTTGAGCTGAAGAGCTGAGGGACAGCGCCCAGGCCCAGAGTTCAGGCCCCATGACCGGACCAAAAAACAAAAACAAAAAGCTAAGGGATGGTGGTTAGGCCCTAGTTCAGACATCAGTACTGGCACCAAAAAAGAGGTGGGAGTGGGGGAAATTCTTTTATGATGGACATGAGTGTGGGCCACTCTGGAGGAGGAGAGAGCCCTTAGGGGGTGGGGCTAGTGCAGGTGGGAAAAGCAGCCGGAAGTGGAGCTGTGGCTCAAGTGGTAGAGCACTGGCCTTGAGCATAAAAGCTCAGGGACAGTGCCCAGGCCCTGAGTTCAAGTCCTGGGAATGGCACAAAAATGAAAAATAAATAAGTAAATTCCTAGGATCACAAAAGCCGGGCGGGACTCTGAATGTCATATGCCCACCCTTGTTTGGAAAAGTGAGATAAATTGAGGCCAAGCCAGAAAGTTCAGCCAACTTGAAGATGTCTAGGCAATCTTCATTGGTATTTTCGCTTGTTTGCTTGCTTGCTTGTTTTCATGCCGAACTCAGGGCCTTGTACTCTTGCTTAAGTCTGGCACTCAACCACTTGAGCCATAGCTCCTCTTCTGGCTTTTTGCTGGTTTGTTGGAGGTAAGGTTCTCACAGACTTTCCTGTCCAGGCTGGCTTTGAACTGTGGATCCTCACATCTCAGCCTCCTGAGTAGCTGGGATTACAGGCATGAGCTACCGTACCTGACTCACACCCCTCACTTCTGCCTTTAAGACATTCTCCCTTCCTCCCCCTTCCCCACCCCCAGGCCTCCACCAGGATGCCCCAGCTCCCCGAGAAGAGCGCCTCTCTATTGGAGGAGCCTCTTGCTGGTCCCAATGACATCATCTACGTAGACATAAGAAAAATGAACCGCGCACGACCAGGCCCAAGCCCGGAGATGTCCAGCAAACATGGGTCACTTCCAACTGGTAGCCAGGCCTGCTCTCCTGGCCGAGAGACCCTGAGAAAACTTCCAGATGGAGACCAGAACAAGGCCGAGGGCCCAGACCAAGGTCATCCAGCGTCTCCTGCGTCCTCAGGATTCGTTCTGCCCCCCAGCTACAAGGCCCTGGGGCCCCAGGTGGCTACAACCTGGAGGCACAGGTTTCTGAAGATGAGTCCGGAGGCCCAGCCCAGCCCGGAGGACGGCTCTGCAGATGCCTATGAGCTGGTGCAGACGGGCGGCCTCCAGCAGGCCTGGGACCCGGCAGGTCACAGAGGCTGTACCTACGAGCAGATTCCAGCCTGCTGGAGTCCCCCTGCCAGGCAGCCCCAGCTTCCAGCCAGTACCCCCTACAGCAAAGTGTCAGAGCCCTCGGACTGTGGCTATGAGAGGATCTTTGGGGCCCCAGGGGTCCCTGGGCCTGGAAATACCTACGAGCAAATCCCAGCAGACAAGGCCAAACAGTCCAGCCGGATATCCAAGGTGAGGGGGGGGGGGGGGGGCCTCAGGCCACAAGCTAGACAGGTTACTAGAAGCACCTAGAACTTTCCAGGCCTGCTGCTGGTGGAGGCGGTGATGGTGGTGATGAGAGAAATTGCTGCTAGGTTGGGGGTGTGAGGTAGCTGGTATTTGCCTGGCACTGGTGCTCACGCCTATCGTTCTGGCTACTCAGGAGGCTGAGATTTGAGGAAGCCAGCCCGGCACAAAGGTCTGTGAGACTCTTCACTGAACCAGCAAAAAGCTGGAAGGGTGGTATGGCCCAAGTGGTGGAGCACCAGCCTAGAATAAGAAGGCCAAGGGGAAAACTCAAGGCTTTGAGTTCAAACCCCAGGATCCAACACACACACACACACACACTCACACACCCCCCCACACACACCCCCCCCACACACATACACACACACACACACACACACACACAGTCCTCTGGGGACTTCCAGAGTCCCATTCCATGTTTGTTTTTCCTCTGTGTGTGTGTGTGTGTATGTCTGTGTTTCTGTATCTGTGAGTGTGCTGGTCCTGGAGCATGGGCGCTCTACCATTTGAGCCACGGCTGCACTTTGGCTTGGTGTCATCCATTGCGATCCTCACATCTCAGCTTCCTGAGTTGCTAGGATGACAGTCCTGAGCCCGCTTAATCCTCAGCTCCTTTTGTTGTTTTTCAGGGCTGTTTTATTTTTGTCAGTGGTGGGGCTTGAACTCGGCCTGGGTGCTGCCCCTTAGGTTTTGTGGCCTACCACTTGAGCCACAGATTGGCTTTTTATCATTTTGCTAATTAATTAGAGATAAGAGTCTCATAAACTTTCGTGCCGGGGCTGGCCTCGAACCGCGATCCTCAGATCTCAGCCTGAGTAGCTGGGATGACTGAGCACTATTGCCCAGTACCTGCCAGTTCTTTTCATACTCCTCTTCTGCCTCCTTTTCTTAGCCAGAATGAGGTAAATTGTACCTCTGTGGCTGCAGATGGAGTTTCAGACAATGGGGGAGGTGGGGGAGGGGGGGGGGGGGGTAGGAGGGAGAGGGCACGAAGGAGAGGGCACAAAGTCTTATTTCCTGGCACTGGGCCACTGCGGAGGGTCTCTGAGCTGGAGTCTTTCCTTCCCCTTTGGAGAACCCGCATCCCAATACCTGCTTCCTCCCACAGCCTGACAAACTCCGGAGACTGTTTGAAAAGAAACACAGATTCTGATGCAGGCCCAGCGTGCGGGGTCCTGGTGCCCAGGCAATGCCAAACGGTTCAAAGGCTCCCCACTCCTTGGAGGCCGTCATGCCCATCCTCAGACCCAACCAGCCGGGATGGAACCAGGCTCAGGAGACACAGCCAGAGACCTGGAGCCTGGGGCCACCCGTGACCCTTTCCTGGATGTATGCTGCTCCTCCAGGACCTCCTGTCCCGTGTGATGGAGGGACTATGGCCAAAGGAGAAAGGGGACTCTCCAAAGCCATGGATCAGACAAGTGCACACAGTTCTGGATTGGTTGACTGAGCCTGCATCCCACCATGAAATACTTGCCAAGTGTGTGGGCCAAGGAAAGACTTTTTTTTCTCTTTCCTAACTTGACAAGTGACATCACACAACTGCTTTTGATAAACCAGGGGGAGGGCGGGGGGGGGGGCGGCTCATGCTTGTAATTCCAGCTACTTGGGAAGCTGAGATCTGAGGATGGCGGTTCAAAGCCAACCCGGGCAGGATAGTCTGGAGGATTCTTATCTCCAAGGAAGGAACAAAAAGCCAGAAATAATGCTGTGGCTCAAGTGGTAGAGTGCCACCCTTGGATGAAAAAGCCCAGAGGGATAAAAACTCGGTCATGAGTTCAAGGTCCAGGCCTGACACAAAACAAAACAAATACCAACAAAAACTGAACAAAATTGCTCTGGAAAAACCAGACCAGCTCCCCTCCTGAGAAAAACCCAGAACGTCCTGACCAAAGCCTCAATTCTGCTCCTGCCTCAGTGGGTAGGGAGGCCTGTGGCCTTGACTCTGGTCCCCCAGAATTGCCCCACCAGCTCCTCCCTGCACCCCAGCCTCCATAAGCTAGGCAAATCCTAGCCCAACCCTTTTGTGCTATAGATGAGGACCCACACCTAGTGAGGGCCTGGTCAGAGACCCTCCGTATGGCAGTCTGGCCGGGCGCCATGGCTCACACCTATCATCCCAGCTACTCAGGAGGCTGAGATCTGAGGATCACATGATCAAAGCCAGTCCGGGCAGGAAAGTCCGTGAGACTCTTCTCTCCAATGAGTCACTAGAAAAACAGAAGGGGCTCAAGTGGTAGAGCGCTTTGGGGCTCAGGAATAGCATCCAGGCCCAAGTTCAAGCCCCACGTCTGACAAAAACAAACAAAGCAGCCATGAAAACACTTGTCAGCCAATATCTTTTGAAGTCAGAAACACCTTCGTGGGGTCTGGAGGGTGAAGTGAAGCAGTACCCCAGAATGTTCTCCATAGTGACAGACACAGGACCGATTTACTCTTGGTTCACACATCTGTGCCCAGCCCATGGCAGCCGGGCGGCCATGGCGTGGGGGATTCCGGGGTGATGACTTGGGGACAGAGACGGAGCCCTTGGACCTACACCTGTACAACTTCGCTTGGGGACAGCGACTGGACAAGGACTGACAGGGCGGGGGCGCAGTCCTGCACTGGGCTTTGGAAAAGAGATTGCATAGCTTATTGAACCCTGGTGTGCACAACTTTGGGGGTGACTGGGGGTTCATCAGGCTGTTAGGCTCCTGCCAACCCCTCCCGGGGAGTTTTCTTGTGTGTGTGTGTGTGTGTGTGTGTGTGTGTGTGTGTGTGTGAATATGTAGGACTTGAGCTCAGGGCCTGGGCACTATCCCTAAGCTTTTCTCATTCAAGGCTGGTGCTCTACCACTTGAGCCACAGCACCACTTCTGGCTTTTTTGGTGGTTCATTGGAAATAAGAGTCTCACAGACTTTCCTGCCTTGGGTTGGCTTTGAACCATGATCCTCAGATCTCAGCCTTTTGAGTCTCTGGGATGACAGTGCCTGGCTGGAGGGGAGGGTGGGGGGTGAGTATTGAGCCATGCATTGTTCAGGAGACCCCGGAAAAGAACCAGATCTTGGGGTACCCTGGGGAAGGTCCTGTTGCTCATACTCCCTTCCCTGGTTAATTTTCCGTATTTATTTATTTATTTTTTGCTTAAAGGGCCACCAGGAGTGTCTATGTGAGTGTGAACCACAGTCCCGCTCTGGGGGTGCGTGAAGGTGACACCCCTGTGCAGACAGAAGTCTGGAGGGGGGCTTCAGGCCCCAGCAGGCTCCTCAGATCCGGATATGGAAAGTGCTGAAAAAGAGAGAAAGGACAGAGGTCATGGGCAGGGCAGAAGGCTCATCAGAAAAGGTGCTGCTAGTTAGTAGTGTAGGTGTGGTTCAAGTGGTAGAGCGCCCACCTGTGTGAGAGCTAGGATGCTATCTATGCCCACATCCTGAGTTCAAGCCCCAGGATCAGCACAAAAAACAACAAAAGCAAGGCCAGGTGCCAGTGGCTCACACCTGTCATCCCAGCTACTCAGGAGACTGAGATCTGAGGATCCTGGTTCGAGGCCAGCCTGGGCAGGAAAAGAAAACTGGAAGTGGTGTTGTGGCTCAAAGTGGTAGAGCACTAGCCTTGAGCAGAAGAGCTCAGGGACAGCACTCAGGCCCTGCGTTCAAGCCCCAAGACTGACCAAACTAAATAAATAAAATCCACAACAACCAGCTCCGGCTGGCTTTGAACCGCGATCCTCAGATCTCAGCCTCCTGACTAGCTGGGATGACAGGTGTGAGCCATCAGTGGCCAGCCACGCACAAGGCCACAGCGGGAGGGGAGCTGGGCCTAGAACCTGCTTGTCTGCTTCCTGACCTGCCCATCAGGGCCTATGGAGGTCCCATGGACCCCCACCATCCATCCCTGCTGCCCCCGCCCCCCCCGCTCGCGTGGGTGCCCCCTGCTGGCGGCACCTGAGGAAGTCAGGCGCCTTGGCGATCATGTCCTCGAAGTCCGCGAAGCCCAGCTTGCCGTCCCCATCCAAGTCCGCCTCCTCGATGACCTTGTCGCACACCAGCACCACCTCGTCCTCGTCCAGCTCTGACTTGGTGAGCCGGGCCAGCGTCAGCTCCAGGTCCTCTTTGCAGATGAAGTTGTCCGTGTTAAAGTCTGCGGGGCACAGGGAGGGCTGTGGAGGAGTTCACCCCTCTCCCAGGAAGCCCTCAATTGCCTCTCTCCTCCTAGCTGGACACCCTGGTCACCCCAACAGACACTGGATCCCCCCAGAGCATCTCCAGGCACACACTGGGGAGACAGGATCCCTGTGCCCAGCTGGAGGGGACCAAAGGGACAGATACTGAACACACAAATGTGCCCCAACTGCCAGACACGGGGCTCACACCTGTGATCCAATCCCTCAGAAGGCTCAGGGTAGAAGGATCATGGTTCAAGGTTAGCCAGAGGTGGGAGGAGTTTGCCAGACCCTATTTTGAAAGGTAACCAGCAAAAACAAGACTGGAAGGTATGGCTTAGAGCGTAAGAGCACCAGGCTTAAGGTCCTGAGTTCAAGACCTTAGGACTGACCAAGAATACGCAGCAAACAAATATCCTCCAGAACCACTGAATGTATAACCACAGGCTGAGCTAGTTTCAAACTGGAGGCTCTCTGTGAATGTCAGGCCCTGGTCAGATGGCCCCTCGAGCTAACATCCAGAAAAACCAAGTTCTAGAGCAGAATTTGGACTGGGCCTCTTTTGACTCTAAGGTCCATGTTTTCCAAACTGCAGGCCTTGAGTCCAACATGTAGTGCACGATAGCACATGCATCATGCAAATGGCAAACACAATTTCATCTGCCAATGCAAAAGCCGCCTGTCGAAGCGGTTCATGCCTATCATTGCTGCTCCTTGGGAAGCAGATCTAGAGGACAGTGGGTTCGAGGCCAACCTAGGCAAAACAAAACGACAAAACAAAAATATACCAAGCTGAGCCTGGAATCCTAAGCGTGAAGCGAGTGGAAAATAGGAGGATCCCAGTCCAAGCCAGTGTGGATGTAAAGAGGAGATCTTATTTCCAAAATAACCAAAGCAAAAACAAAAAAGGTTGGGGACATGGCTCAGATTGTAGAGTGTCTGCCCTAGCAAGCAAAAAGATCTGAGTTCACAAATTTCAGTACAGAAAATAGTCCTGTCAGGAGATGAAAAGGCCGCAAGGCTACAATCTCTGTACACACACAGAGCAGGAAGCATGGTTTGGTTTTGAGCACCACCTCAGCAGGACACAGCACAGTGGTTTGGAGGGTCGGGGAGGATGGGCCCAGTCCTGGGGTGTGAACTCAGGGCCTGGGGACTGTCCCTGAGCCACAGCTCCACTTCTGACTTTTTTCCTTGGTGGTTCATTGGAGATGACTCTTAAGGACTTTCTTGAAGTGGTGCTGTGAGTGGCCCCGCCCCCTCACATGGGCCCTTGGATGGGTCCACACCAGAGATGGAGAAAGTGGGAAGGGCAAGACCCTGTCCGGCCATATCTTTGGTCAGTGCTTGACCTAGAACCCATGTCCTGAGGAGACTGACACCCTTGCTACCCGGGAAGGCCTCCAGGGTAGGTGAGAGGAGAGGAGATTCTCTGGACATACTAGCTCGACGGCCACCTAGATTCTTCTGTCCATTCAATGAGAGGAAACAGGTCCTTTGGTGCTCTGTGCTTCCCTTTGGGGAAGACAGCAGTCCCTCCCAACACCATCGGGTCCTAGACGTAGGGAGCTACAAGCCATGAGTCCAGGGCTCACAGAGAACGGACAGGCAAGTGCTGCCTGGTATGGTGTACGGATGTTTCTAGAACAAAATTGCTTTGAAATAAAACATGACACTTTCCAAATGAAAAGACAGCCCTGCATGGCCGTGGTATCTCCTCTCTAGCTCAAAGGTTTTCCCAAAGGTGTTGAGGATGACAGGTTTTTGTTCTTTTCTTTTTTTCTTTTCTCTTTTGTCAGTCATGGGGCTTGAACTCTGGGCCTGGGCACTGTCTTTGAGCTCTTCAGCTCAAGATGAGGGCTTTACCAATTGAGCTACAGCGCCACTTCCAGTTTTCTGATGGTTCACTAGAGATATGAGTCTCATGGTCTTCTCCTGCCCGGGCTGGCTTTGAACTACAATCCTCAGATCTCAGCCTCCTGAGTAGCTAGGATTACAAGTGTGAGCCATTGGTGCCCG